TATAGATTCATATTGTTCCGAAACAAACAAATAAACAAAAAAAAACAAAACAAAAGTAATGACTACAAAACTATTCTGTCGAGATTTGTAACCCTTAGATCAGCTATTCCCGACACTTACATGATGATCAAACGATTACAAACTGAACGAAATAGTTCCGTAACAGAACCATAGCATTTCCCTTACCAATTTCCTCTCCAACCAAACTTCTTCCTCATGGCAGAAAAAATGAATACAACCCATCGAACTTGAAAAAAAAAAAAAATATAAAAAATAATAGAACACACACATACATGACCTAAGACCTCTTATCCTTATCCTGACCCGTTCTTTTTACCCCGGCGTAGTTACTGAGGTGAAAATTAACAAACAGCGCCAAAAGCGAGGCGTTGAAGAGCGCGTTGAAGCACCAGCCCCAAATCCCCTCACAACCCGACCCGCTGAAGTGGTAATACAGCATCCAACCCGATATCCCGAAGCTGAAAACGAACTGCGCGATCTGCAGATCCGTCACCACCCTCTTCCACCGCGGCCGCCGCCCCACCGCCGCCGCCAGGTAGTAAGCGTACATCACCACGTGCACCGTCGCGTTCGTCACCAGCGCCACCGGGAACAGCGACTGCGCCGCCGCCAGCCACACGTAGCACATCACGACCACCGCCGCGTGGTGGTACACGTGGAGGAACGTCAGCCGCCGGGACCGCGACCCGCTCAACAGGATCAGGAGCGTGTCGAAGAACTCCAGGATCTTCGAGAAATAGAACACGTGGGCCCAGAAGAACGTGGGGCCGCGCGCCGGCGTCCGGCCGGCGGGGAAGCAGACGGCCCAGGAGGGGAGGCCGGGCGGGGTCTGGATGGCGGCGGAGAGGGCGCAGCCGACGGCCATGACGAGGGAGAGGAGGCAGAGGACGAGGCTGTGGGCGGCGGTGACGAGGCGGAGAACACCGGGAGGGACGGCGGGGAGAAGAGGGAAGCGGTGGAGAGAGAGAGTGAGGGCCAGGTAGGCGGAGACGGCGGCGGCAACGAAGAGGGGGGAGGCCCCGGGGGTCTGGTGGGGCCTCCACTCGTACTGGCTGATGGTGGAGTGGTCGACCAGCCAGTAGTGAATGGTGGCGTAGAGCGTGTCCATCACGCGCCGCTGGGGGAGATTTTTTTTTTTCTTTACTTTTCTGTTCGAGCGGTATGGCGATTGGGATAGATGTATATTGTGCAAACTATTTTTTTTTTCTTTTATGTATGAATTTAAAATTATTTATTTTCTGAGGTAGGATAGAAGGCCACGTAGCACGACTCCATCTTGGTTTTTTTGTCATTAATGTTAAGTTATAATTATACGGGCCGTTAGATGTAAATTATATTCTGGTTTGTTTTTTTTAAAAAAAAAAAAATCAATTGGCTCAAAAAATTTTGGAAAATTCACTTTTTATTACTTCAAAAATCGTAATTTTGGACAAAAAGTAAAAACTTACATTATTTTAATACTTTTACAATTAGATACTCAAAACGAAATTATTTTTCCAACAAAGAAAAACTCAACTCTTTAATTCTTTTTTCGTCAAAATAATTGTTTTTTACAAATAATTTATATTCCGCGTGCTTTATTAAAAATATTTTATTTTTCGGTAAAATATTATTTTATTGAAAATTAAAATTAAATAAAAATATTATACAAAATATATTTAATCTCTTTTTCTTTTCTAGTCTATCTAATATAATTAACAAATGAAAATGTATCATTATTATATAATTTTTTAAAAAATAAATAAATTAGTTATCAATGAATAAATACTCCCTCTTATTTTATTATTTGTCACTTTGGCTTAATGGACCATTGATTAAATAAATGTCGTTTTTGGCTATTTTGTTCATATTTTTTAATTTTTAACCCTCTATCAATGCACAATGTCTCTTCATCTCCATAGTTTCTCATAACATCCATTAAATAGAGTTAATATTGGCAACAAAAAAAATCTTAATTAACGTGTTGCTTCTCAAAACGACAAATAATAAAAATATAAGGGAGTATAAAACTATTGTCCATTAAATTTAAATCACAACTTTAAATCTTACCAACTTTAATCATTGTTTTTCTTTTTATCTAATACAATTCAAAATTTCAAATTATCTATATTTTTTTTAAAAAAATAACTTCCTCTACCTTTTAAAATATATTTCTCAGTCTATTATCTTATGCATTTGTAATCTCAAATTTATAATTTCACTAAAACTAACTTTTCAAAAAAGGATTTTATTTTTATTTTTTTTTTCGAGAAAAACCTTTTCTGGCCACACAAGAATCGCTGCCAAAGTTAATAGGGGAAATTTATTTTTCACCACAAGAATTTTAATTTATTGCGGATGTACGAAGGGAGAGGTTATATTTGCAAGCCTACCTTTTAAAGTGTATTTATTTGACCCGATGCTAAAAATTCGTTATTATATTAAGTGAGAGAATATATTCCTACAATCACGTTTAACTGAAAAATAAAAGGTAAGTGTATATTTTCTAATAATTAGGACATTGTTCATATCGTGCTGGGCGAAAGATTTGTAATATGAAATTCAAACGTCCTATTTATTTTTTCAAAATATATACATAATATATACAGAATATATACAGAAAACATTACAGAAAATATACGAAATAAACCTAGTAATTTTGTCTTAAGGCGAGGGTCGACGTAATTGAGAAAGGAGTTGGCTATGACAGATCCTTCTCCGGCTTCGGTGGATGCGCCCTTTTGTGTTATTTACATCTCGTGTTTTTTCTGTATATTTATAATATATTTTCTGGTTTAATACATAAAAAACACGCTATCAGACTTATATACAGAACATATACTCATATATACAGACAACATAAATAAAATACACAACAGATATATAGAAGATAAAATCAATCTTGTCATTATATACAAAATATATATAGAAGATATACAGAATACACATTAGGTTGTCGGTTGTGCTTACGAGAACATACACTACCATGACCAGATCCACCTCACCACCGCAACACACCAACCATCGACCTCTTATCCAACGCAACCACCTACACAACCTTACACTTCAAACCCTCCGATTGAAATGGCCCGAATCGGATGTGGAATCGGCCTTTCCACTATTTAAAAATCTAATTGGTTGAATTCAAATAGACAATCTCGTTGTCCTCCATAAACACAGTTGAAGCTGAACAAAACCAAGTAGCAAAAGACAAAACCGATCCCAATTAGTATTATTTGGACCTAAATAAGAAAACGGGCCAATTACCCAAGCCCATCACGATTTCGCGTCGTCAATGGGAAACGAGGCGGTCCAGGCGGTGGCAGCTTCAGGTGAAATCGCTCTCCGGCTTTGGAGACCTTAAACGAGATCCCCATGTTATGAACAAGACCAAAAAAGAAGGATTTTTGGTTGGGGGGGGAATGTCTGACTTTGGTAATGTTAGGGGAAAAAAGGCAAAGCTTTGCCGGAAAAGAAGGAAGCAGCAAGGGAAAGAGCCGCCGGGACGGATTGGGAAGAGGAATATATGAATTTAGGGAAGAAAAGTGTAACTGGAAACCTATCTAAATGACAAGATGAAGGGACTAGAAGAAGACACGCTGGGAAGAGGAATATATGAATATTAATTGCATATTTAAATTAATCATTTCTTATCTATCTGGTACTTTTGCAATTAAAAATTTCAGATCTTGTATATTTGCTAATACTTACATTTGGGTTTTATTTATATAATAAAAAATGATATCTCTTGTATAGGGTGCAATTTACTCAAGTTAACAAACGCAAACCCAAATGAATGATGAAGGTTTGCATATAAAAAATCTTTTTAACATATTATTATTTTTAACATATTATTATTTCGAGTTATTGAAGAAATTAGTCTACATTTAGATTTTGGAGAAATCCTACTGAGTAATACAAAGCAAAAGCTTTCAACACATAAACAAAAGCACGACTCACACAATAAACTTCATATGAAAGGACAATCCAGTCGGCAGCAGTCAGATTTATTTTAGTGCCGACCGTTACTCTAATTGGGACAAAAGAAAACGAATCTGACTAAAAATTGCAACAATTCTTCCAAATGATCATCATCACAAAAAGACGACAACAACTCCGCCTCAGCATCATGACCCAGAAAACGCAACCAATTCCAATAGGCGGCTCTCCAAATCATAAGCACAGCAAAGCTTATACAATTGTATTCGCGTAGAGTTCACTAGGCTGCAAAACTGAAAAAAGAGTCGAGAAAGAAAAACTAACTTGTCTCAACTCGTAGCCACCTTCTTCTTGACCACTCTCTTCCTCCGGGCCTTGGGAGCTGGCGGGCCATCCTCTGAGGTTGAGGTTGAGTTGGGCTGCCCTTGTCTAAGCCCGAGAAGCCCAAGCCCAGAGACAATAGAGTTCTTGGATATGAACCACTTGGAAGAAGATTGTTCGCCTCCTTCTGAAGCTCTGTTGTAGGCCGCCTTTAGAAGACCGTCTGAGTGGGCCAAAGGGTCGGCTTCCACACCAAGCCAGGCCAGCCTAGATGTCTCACCCACTTGTACATTCAGGACTCTGCAGCCATTTTGATTTGGTTAAAGGTGAGGTTAAGTTGCAGCTAAGAAGTTCTTCCCAAATTAAGATCATCAACGTAGCCATGAGCAGGTAAGAGCTAAAATTGAGGATCAGGATTTGCCTTTAACTGGGAATAGATCAACATATAGGAACTAACACATGTTTCACGTGTAAACCAACTATAAAGTCATGTACGCATAATAAGAATAATTACCTCATAGCTGTGCTGAAGAAAAGGGCTACACCAATGACATCAAAGTAGCTGGTGACAGCCCTATCGAAACCACACAGGAGCTGATACCTCAAATTTGCATAAAGACTCAGAAAAGCTCCATAACCGAGAGCATTGGAGCTCACTGATGGAATGGTGACTGATAACCTAAGGAATCAGAAGAGGAGCAAAAGACATAAGTAACGAAAAATGTCAAGGCACTTCAAATTATAACAAAAACACAAATATAGCTCAGAGAACTAGAGAATATTCAACTCAAGTCCATGAAAATAATCCTCTTACCTTCCTTCTTTTTTGCTGGCAGCAAAGTTTGACACAGCACCTTGCACGGCTCCTGCAGTAAAACCAACCATGCACAGCTCAGCAGCTTTGTAAAAGAACGACTGGAGTCTCTTCTGGAAGTCAAATTCTCTAAACGGATAACTTTTCTCAAAAATATTGTTGGGCAGCTTTTGCAGTGTATTTTGAAGATCAAATTGGAAAGTGTTCCCATACGAACGGCAAGGGGCGAGCGACCAAACGACAATGGCATTGCAAGCTGTCACTGTGAGCACGTTGATGAGGGCAAGATCCCATTCCTGCTTTAACCTGCATTCAAGATATTAATTAAGGCCTATTATTGAGTTCATAAGAAAACGAGCACGTCAGTGTCAGCAAAACTAATAAAAAAAAAAGGTGGATACCTCTCCTTGCGATTCTTGACCTCCCACCAAACTGAGCAACCGATTGTTGTCGCCTGCTCAAGAAGCAGCCTGTAAAGAAAGGCCGGGTCCGCGATCATCCTGTCCAGACGAGGTTTAGCTAATATAGTAATACATAGTTGAAAGCAAACAGCCATACATCTACGAAAAACTTAAAGCTCACTGAAACCCAAATCCATATTTTAATCATCTGAAACACAAAATGTACTAAACATACATTCTTAACCACAAGTATAATTTTCTAATCTTTCGGTCACACATAAAAAATTGCTCACGAGCACCACCCGATTGACCGGGATGTTCTGATAGGGATATAATTTGGAAACAATAAACTTCTACTAACCAGAAGGACTAATTCCCAAAACGACCAATGCACTCAATTCCAGGAAGTTCAAATAACATCTAAAGGCTAAAAGTAAGAATGGATAGTCAATGGTGTTGAGCAAGCGAGAAGCTTCATGTGCTTGTGCTCGACAGAACTAAGCCAAATTGAGAATTACGATGTCAGATTAGAGCTTTCAACAGACCAGTTATAATCAATTTTGGAAGATAAGCCTAGCCAAAAAGACACGACTTAAAATAAGCTTGGGATCACTGGCCTGTGCTTGGTTTACTGTTTATCCTCTAGATAGAACAAACGACACACACCAGTTAGAAGAGCTCTGCATGAAACAAGATTACTCTATGAGGACAAGGAATTAAAAGTTATATATTCCTCCTGTAACTTTGAACAACTATATAATTATACCTAATACAAATTAACTGTCAACAATATATATCACAAGTTCAATAAAAAATACAAAATTACAAGAACCGACGCGAACTTTTCCTTATGATACAGGGGCAAACAAAGCATTTGAAGTACTACAAAGTTCAAACCAGTGTTATTAATGGTGGCAGGAAAAAATCCCACCATGGCAGCCGCCACCGCCATCCTTCACAAATTTAGCATGGCGGTCTGTCAAAAATCCACCACGCCATACCGCCATGGCCACCATTTGATAACACTGGTTCAAAGCCATATTCTGAGTGCTTGGCAAAACTTCAATTTGATCCATGACAACAAATGTTGTGAGGATGCATTTGACAAACAGAAGTTTCAATGACTTTCAATCCTCAATGTATCTTAGTACAGAAAGCTTCAGGTGTACCTGCCAATAAATGCTCTTGACAATCCTTGGGGTAGAGAACGAGAAATGAATCTTGCAGTTGTAGGCCTGGCATTGATTGCCAGAAACTTCACCATTTGAGCTGAGCTTACCAAACCCTATAGCCAATTGGACATCATAACGCATCCCCAGGTGTTATCAAGTTCAGAAAGGAAAAAAGGAAAGAAAAAGAAAACTTTTACCATTTCGTAGGCCTGACGAAATCCAGCAGGCAAATCCATCATTGTCTTTTGCCACTCATTCAGCACAGCATCAACAAATTTCCGATCAAACAACTGCAACACGAAATTAAGCATTGAACCATGAGAGTATTATATATAATAATTAAGTAGATAACTCTAAGATACTTCTCTCATTCTCATAAGTTTGTGTGAATAGACAGACAAATTTGTTACCTCTCCCAGAACAATCCTTCTTCTGAAAAGCCCACCCTCATCTCCATCATCACCTTCATCAAAGTCATCGAAGTAATCATCATCATCACCACCATCGTCACCTCCGTCACCGCCCCCATGATTAAGACCCTTTCCCATATTACCACCTCCACCCCCAGTAGAAAGCTGCCATATTGCAGAGCAAATAGCAAGCATTTATTGTGCAATGAGAACTTCTAACATGAAAATTCAGACAATCGTAAGCAATGAAATTTGTATTTAGAGTAACATATCAAATGGGTCACTCAGAAACCAATTCTTTTATACCCTTCGAAGATAATATACGACCTGAAAGCTGAAACAAGCAGTTAACGATAAACAAATTGCTCGTATAAGTTAGGATTCGCCCTAAAGTAAGTAATGCAATTTCTGATTCAGCAATTTAACTGCAATCTTCTTTACCAACTTTGCAATAACATATAGTGAGCTCACCCAATCATCAATGCTCAAGAATGAAACAGTGAATGTTTAATATGCAGAAATGTGGAGCCACTAGCATAGTTGCATTAAATAGCAGTCGAGGAGGGTCATACACTGCTACACAAGAATGAGTTCTACAAAAGCTTCACTGTGGAGCACAACTATTAACAACCTTCAATGACAAACGCATAAATCAAATACAACGTTTAGTAAGGTCGGGTATCTCAAGTACACGTTCAAGAATTAGTTTAACTTATCAAGAAAAAGAAAACGATGAGAAGAGGTCACTCCTATGTTATATTTACAATGGATAAATGTCCTTATCCAGTTAAGCCATTAACTGTGGGATTCACTGCAATCGGCCTAAAGCACAACTTACAAAAACAATAACACTCACTCGCTAAAGCAAGCAGTTTTCCTGAACTAGATACGTTTAGTGAAAATTAAATAAACTGACAAAGAACAAGATTACCTCGGGACTCTTCTGAATTTTACTTATTTTTATCTTCTGCGAGAAAACCATCTTCGGTTTTTCCAAAGTAACCGATTTAAGCGAACTCAAGTTCCCCTTCATAACCGGGACACAACACGCTGAGGTGGAAGAAGCCGACGGGAAGACATCCGGGGTGGATGGCGACGCCTGAAAGCATGTCTCCAGTCTGCCAATAGAGTCGCCGTCAACCACCGAGGAAGATGAAGCCCTGATACTGAAGCAACATTTTCGGAGCTTACCCGCGGCGGCCGGCGGGAGAGCGTTCCGTAGAACGGTGGTGGCCGGGAGTAAGGACTTTGATGATAAGGAATTGGGGGCCGGCGCCAGAGGCATAATCTGCGCCAGTTGGAAGACTGCGTGAGACATTTCTTATCGGCCACTCCTGTTCTTCTCTGATTCAGAAATCTCAGTCTGAAATTGAGGATTAGGGTTTTTTACCTTCTCATGAGAAGCAAGATTGTTGTTCTGTGCCTCTCTGGTTTTTGGGTTGGTTTTTTCTCCTCAGTTGGAGAATGGGAGAGGGGAAGAGGGATAGAAATTAGGGGTCAGGGTGGAGTTAAGGTTTTGATGGAAACGAGTCTGCTCGAGACAAACTCAATGCAACTGACACCGAGTGGACTCGGCCCTTCAAGATTTTGGTCAACAATAATTTGAGGATAGAAATTACTGAATTAGAATTGAAAAATTGTATTTTTTTTTTTTGGTACAGAGACCTTCCGGTTTCTGGATCCACAGGAGAACCGACTAATCCGGAATCGAGCCGGGTAGGACCACAAGGGCGGCAAAACTCTCCTTCAAGAGTTTATTTTTTTTTTTATTTTTGGGTGGTGAAAAATTGTATTTTCAGTACTGATTTTATTCTAACCCAAAAAAAAAATGTAGTATCATAGTTTTTAAACCATCAACCGGGCATGCCTCCGGGTGGCCAATTATCGGTTCAACCGTCGGATCATTATACTATTAATTGTTGAATCTGTTAATATATAAAGAGATAATAATATTTACTTGAAATAGTAACTGAAAATCAATAAAAAAATATATATATTTGGTTTACTGCCTAAAAATTTACACCAAATGTGAATTTCAAATTTTGTCTAAAATTTCAAATCAGTAGTTCGAATTTTGTCTAAAAAAATTACACAATTTTGTAAATTTGAATTTTTAGGGGGTAAGCCAAATATTTTTTTATTGATTTTTAATTATCATTTCAAATAAATATCATTGTCTTGTTATAAATTAATAAATACCCAAAGCCTCAAGTGTAAATAACATCTTCTTAATATTATTTGTTATTTATATTTGTAGACTTAAAGAACTATATTTCTTCATTATCCTAAAAACTTATTTGCCATTATGGCAGTTGTTGTCGGACACTATCGACCGACGATGTAATAGGCTTATATCGTTGCTCTGTACTATAACAACCAATAAAGGATGCAGTCGTGAGGTTATCATGAACTTGGTAGATAACCAACTTCAGTTTCTTGATGGATGGGAACAATTTGTTCGTTCATAGGATATTCGTACTGTGTCCATGCTTTCTTTCGAAAGTACCAATCTGAAGAATTTTGCAGTCACAGTAGCAACACATAATGCGGTTGAAAGACATCCACAGTATCGATTCACATTGCATATCAATAAAATGCATGTTGAGCGTGCATGATTGGTAATCCACTTAAATCATTTTTACAATTAATGTATATCAGCAGATCTGTCGAGCATCTCTGAGATGAGCGGTTGCATGCGGCTGCGTTGTTGGTGAGGGTCTCGGATGGAATACATGTTTCTCACACGGGAGAAAGCAGATGCGGCAGCTTTCCGCCAACGGAGGTTAATTTCGCGTATTGGCTTGCCAAGAAACCTAAGGTGATGTTAAACTGCGAAGGTCTAAAGGATGATTTGACTTCTGTGTCATGTGGTCGTTAAAAAAAATGCCACATCATCTTTTCGTCGATGTACGTTAAATAAATGTATAGGATTGTCAATAAACCTAAGGTGTTGTATTAAATTGCCAAGGTGTAAAGGTGGTGATTAAGGGTGTGTTTGTAAAACAATAAATCCACTCGGTTTTTAGTTAACTAAAGTTAATTTAGAAAAATGGTATAGTTAGTTAGTAGTGGGGTTTTGAGTTTGTATTAGAATAATATTTAAAATAAAATAATTAAAATTAATTTGATGTAAAGGTATGAGAAAGATTATATGAAGTTATGGTTAGTTAAAATTAGTGAGTAGATAGATAATGAATTAAAGTTGATATGATGTGTAAAAATAATTGGAAATGATTGGTTGTTATTATTTTATTATATTAAAAATATTGAAAATAGTTGGGTTGAGTTAAAGTTGAGTTAGATTTTGAATATGAATTAATTTGGATTGAGATATTTGGTTTACAAACACATCCTAAATGGCCAAGCGACTAAAGGTGGTGTACTTTCCTGTCAATTGGTCGTTTAAATTATGTGGGTCGATGAATAGTGAATTAGAATTGATGTGATGTGTAAGAATAATTTATTTGTTATAAATATATTAATATGGACATTACTAATATATAATTGGGTCTGAAGTCCATTAGTTAGTAGCATTAGGTTTGAGGGTTTTCTCCTTTGTAAACTCTATAAAAGAGTGAATACCGATGAATAAAAGATAGACTTTTCTTCTTTTGTTTTCTTGTTCTCTTTACTGCATATTTTACATATTTGGTTGATTGATGGATGCTTGGTGAACATCGAGGACTCCAATTTACAACACGTTATCAGCACGCTCTAGTTTGTTATTGCTGTTTGCCCTAGGAAAAAATCGTGTTTTTCCTGCAAGGTAAATCCAATAATTGAACTTCATGGTAGTAGCAAATTTTTTGTTCAGTTGCTTTGAGATCATATTTTTTTGTGATTGATTTTTTTTGGTCTGAACTGTTCAATTACTTTGTACTGAATATTATATTGCCGCTAATGTTTTTTGCGAATTGACTTTGTGCGATTCTTATTGACTCTTATTTTTAGCAATTTGATGTTTTCGCTGAATTGTTAATTTCCTCAAATTGCTTATTCTATTAATTTCCTATGCAAGCACATTAATGATTACATGAAGAAGGGTTGGTGGGATAAATTATTTTGCAAGCACATTACTGATGCAAGCACATTGTTAATGTTTATTCTATTACATTAGTTGTTGTAAACATAAGATGATAATTTCGTATAGGTTGGTTTGGAATTATTTGCCAGTGAATTAATTGCTAATGTGATTGGGAATATTTTTTGTCTGATATACATTAAAGTTAAGCATATTTTGTATATATTTTTCAAGTATGGTAAGGGTCCTTGCGTAGAATGAGACTAATCAAAGTTTTTGTAATCTCATGACACTCTGACATCATGTACGATTTAAGTTGTTTTAGTTCCCTCTCAAGTGATGTATTAAAATTAATCCAATTCTATCAACTTTGTTATTGAATTATTTGAGATATTTTCTTGTTTTGAATAAATTATAGATGTCTGATATCACCAAAAGAAAATTTGCTGAGCTCGCCCTTGATGGGAGTAATTATTTGACTTGGGCCCTTGATGTTGAGATTCACCTGACCTCATTTGACTTAAGTGCCATAATTGATTCTAAATCTCAGAGCACTCTCGCCCAGAAGGCGAAAGCATTGATTTTTCTCTGTCACCATCTGAATAAAGATCTTAAAAATGAATACCTCACCAAAAAAGAGCCTGCCAATCTTTAGAAATTCCTGAAGGATCGCTTTGACCAACAAACGGCTATAATTCTCCCTCAAGCTCCATATGACTGGCTTAATATTCGCTTTCAGGATTTTAAATCCGTCACTGAGTATAATTCGACCCTACATCGTCTTGTTTCACAGCTGAAACTCTGTAAGCAGAACATCACTGAGGCAGCGTTGCTTGAAAAAACTTTATCAACTTTTCATGCTATTAATCTTGTACTCCAGCAGCAGTATAGGGCTAAAAACTATGCAACTCACTCTGAGCTGATATCTGCCTTACTTGTGGCCGAAAAAAAAAAAAAAACATAATCAATTATTGATGAAGCTAGGCCGGTTGGAACTCAAGCTGTGCCTGAAGCACCTGCGACTACTCACGGGCATCATAATGTTTATTTCGTGGACTATGGTGATTATGTGTGATTAATATGCATTCTATCTTAGAAATGGATATTTTTATTTCGTGGTTTGTTTCTTGCTATTAGACAGTTTTGATTTCTTTTGGTTCGTCGGACATTTGTGGTTTGTTTTTGCTATTGGTATGTTTTCTTATGTTATGATTTGATTGGAATTTCATGACTGCTTAATTTGCTTATAATGTTTTACTTTTCTTTTAGTGTACCACAACCATTCATTAGTTTGCATCTTATGGAGAAAGAGGACATTTTATGTCTGGTCGACAGTGCTACTACGCACACTATTTTGAAAGATAGGAAATTTTTCCAAACTTTGAATGAAAAGAAGGGGAGTGTTTCTACAATTGCTCATGATAAAATATTGATAGTAGGCTCCGGCAGAGCTTTACTTACTCTTCCTAAGGGTACCGAATTAATAATTAACAATGCGCTTTTGTACCCTGAATCACAAAGAACACTCCTTAGTTTTAAAGATATTCGATCTAATGGTTTTCATATTGAAACTAAGACTGAAAACAATATAGAGTATCTTCTAATGACTCATTCACAAGGAAGTCAAAAGAAAATTGTAGAAGAACTTCCCTCTTTCTCCTCAGGCTTGTACCATACTTACATTCGACCTTCTATTAATCATGTTGCATTGAGCTTAAAATTTAAAGACCCAAATTTATTTAAATTATGGCATGAGCGATTGGGTCATCCTGGGCTTAGTATGATGCGTAGGATTATTTCTACCTCTATTGGGCATACCATATCTAGCAACAATCTCCCTTCTTTTAATGAATTTATTTGTGATGCTTGTGCAAAGGGAAAATTAATATTAAGACCTTCACGTACTAAAGTTGGAATTGAATCTCCTATGTTCCTTCATAGGATTCAAGGTGATATATGTGGTCCTATTCATCCCACTTCGGGACCTTTTCGATATTTTATGGTATTGATAGATGCTTCCACTCGATGGACATATGTGTGTTTATTATCCACTAGAAATCAGGCTTTTTCAAAGCTCCTTGCTAAAATTATTGAATTAAGAGCTCAATTTCCTGATTATCAAATTAAAACTATTAGAATGGATAATGCCGGTGAATTTACATCGAAAGCTTTTGATGATTACTGTATGTCACTGGGCATCAAAGTGGAGCATCCGGTACCTTATGTCCACACACAAAATGGTCTAGCTGAATCACTCATTAAGCGCATCAAATTAATTGCTAGACCATTGTTACAAA